AGACGGCCAGAGCGTTGCACAGAATACTGCCGTAGCTATGGCACTTTCAAACAAGATGCTGCTGATTGCCTGGCTGCGTAAGAACCTAAGAATGATGGCCTGCCCCAAACTATCCCCCTGCAAACGCGGCTGCCAGCTCTGCTTTTACTCTGAGGCCGCGGCCAGGTGCGTTCATCGTCTTTTCAGCCTCTTGACCTCGGCAGGCAGTGCAAGCAATGACTCGAATGACTCATTATGAAATTCATCAAAAGTTTGATGTGCACAGAAGGATCATAGCACTCTTTTTTGTTAACGGTTGAGGGCCTGGGGTGTCTATCCGTGGGGAACTGCAGGCTGCTGGCTAACTGACAAGAAGTCTGCGACGGCTGCAGGCAGGAATGGTTATTCACATTAATTATTTTTTTCAGCTCCGGTACTGCTCGGGGTCGACTTCGAGACTCGGCACCCATTCGCGAATATGTAACCCCGGTGACAGGCTAGACTTCGTCAGCACACGAAGATGTACCGCTACTAGACGAACGCCTTCTGCGGCGATAATGACCTGATTGGTGGAATGCCCCGCTTTGCGGGAGTGCCGCCTATCAAAGACTACCTCCAGGAGAACGCCTAGATAGGCTGGAGCAGAGCCCCATCGCACATAAGTCATATACGATTCACACAGTCGGCGATTCGCATCTCTGTGAAGATAAACTCCCGGGCGACCGGTGAAATAGCGGGCCCCCTGCACAGCAGGGGAGCTTTCGGCCAAGGCGCCGCAGCGCAGGATGGAGTGGAGGGCCTCAACATGTGTGCCATGCCATCCCCGTTCGTTCTCGGGGCCTACGTCGTCGTCCCTGCCACTTTCAAAGGGGAATCTCCAAAACTCGCCATCTGCCATCGGCATCACAGAAAAGTCAAACAAGTCCGTGCCGTCCGATCTGTAGCGGGAGCTACAGAACGTTCGGAGAAGGGCACGCATCACTTCCGCCGTTGGGGCTGGCACCTCGGGCAGGTTGTCAACAAAGGTCCTTTTGACGACCATGGCCACCCGATGCTGGTTTAAATCCAGCACACTCCCAGAGCGCACCAGCGCCTTTGGGGGAAAAGCAGCGAGCCCGGCTTGTTGCAGAATCTGGAGGTGAGGGTCAGGCGAAGAAGCTGGAGTGCTCGACATCGATGCATATGGATGAGGAACGCCATGTACAGCATAATTCGACCTTGACCTGGACCACTGCCTCTTCCAATTTCTGTAAGTGGCAGGCTCTTTGTTCTGTTGCCGTCTCTCCCGAGCGTACTGAAGATAGAGCTCGTGTAGCTGATCTTCGTCGTCGTTGTCCATCATTTGGAAGATCTGGCTGACAATGACATGCAGTGACAATGACAATGACAAAAGCAAGTCCCTTGAGTATCTATGGGAACCTCTTAACAAAAAGCCGTAAACCCTGAATCCCTAGCCTAGCCCTTGCTGACTCGAGTATAACAGACTGATTAGAGAATAAAAGACCAGTGGATCTGTATAATAGTATAATGTCGAGCAACGCAGAAGCTCAGACTGACAATGACAGGCACTGATAGTGACAATGGAAATGGGGAGTCCTATGGATGCAAGCTCTTCACCAGAAACCCGTGAACCCTAAACCTTTCAGCCCTAGTACTGAATCAAACTGGAGACTAAATTAACACACAAACGACACACCTACAAGAACCAGAGGAGCTGTATATTATTATTGTGTACCAACGTTAGCCTCCAACCCCTATGCTTATCATGACTGTGTTAGTTATGGGTTTCGGGCCTGGGCTTCAGACTTGCAGGTTTTCGGTCTGGGATTGAGAGTTGCAGGTGTTGGGTCTGGTGTTGACACTTTGAGCAAGATGCCCACAGCAGAAATCATGATACAGACATCCAACAGCAGAGCCACATGTCGGGCATCACACATTGCTGGACAAAGCATTGACACATGCTGCTGAATCCAGGAAATTGTGCTGAGAAAAGAAGCTTGACCTGTGCTGCAGACTCTGGGGCTAAGGCCTGCAACATAGATGATGCGGTTTTGAGTCGACCTTGGTATGGAATCAGAAGGCTGCAACAACCTGGAAAAAGCGATAGCCTGCAAGAAAATGTTTGTTCATGGGAACTGGAACTGCTACTGTCTAATACACCGGAAAGCGCTGCTGCACAGAGCTGCTTCTGGAACATGCACAGGCTGCAGAACATAGGACTGAGGCCTGCACCATAAGTACATGACGTGCATGTCAGTCGACCTGGGCAGCAGTCGTCGCTGGAGTATCTTTCCATTAGATCAACCCAGAAGAGACAACCACAGGGCATCCTCTGTTGAACAGGATTCACAACTGACTGAATGAGAGGCATATAGAAGCATGATTCTTTTGTGTCTAAAATTAAAAGGTTTGGGGTGCACTTGCCAACAATGGCTTGTGTCTGAGAAGACAATGACAGGCAAAAGTCGTGTCATAACCTGATGTTGTCTTTGCTCCCATCTGTGTCTGAGTCAAGGTGTCGAGTCAATCAAGGATCATGTCTAACTGTTAAATAGTAGGTTGGTTGCTGTGTTTTCGTGATTGCAGCATCCTGAACAGAAATCCTATGTAATGTCAGGCTACACCAGTTTAGTATTGCCACAGGCTTTAATTGCATCATTATATTCACCTTGTGGGAACAAAGACTAAGGTCACAAGAAAAATTCCGAAGACAGATGTGAGACAAAAACTGCACGCCTGATGTGGAGGCCTTCACGGGTTCATCCAAGGGCCGAAAACCCACGCAACATGCAAGCCACAACTGTCTCAGAGACAATTGCCACAACGCAGAGTCGGTAGTGGCTGGATTGACTGACACTGACACCTTCAACATCAGAGTGTTCAGGAGGAGTCCTCCGGCTCCTCGCCCTGGCTCTCCTGTCATAACAGACAGAGAAATTTGCTTGACAACACCATGGCAGCCTCTGTGGTGTCCTGTCCATCCGCATCCTCATCGTCATTTCCTTCGTCCCCCTCGTCATCTTGGTCTTCATCGTCGTCTTTGCCACCTGCAAGTACAGACATCTGTTTTGGGTCCAGGTTTCAAACTTGTCTTGCCTCACACATGGCAAGTGAAAGCCTCGTCCTCCACGGCCACGCCGACCACGTCCGCGTCCACGCTGACCCCCACGGGCACGTCCACGACCGCGGCCCCTACGACCGCCGCCGCCGCGGCCACGGCGGTTCTCGCCGTTCTGATCTCCCTCACCATCGTCGCCATCCTGCTCAGTCTGCATGATGCTGGCCAACTTGGCATTGTACGTGCTGGAACTGGGGTCCATGAAGCCCCGAAACAGCAGCTTTCCAAGCTCTTGCTGATACCACGTGCAATGAGCAGATGAGTAGCCTCAGAATCACAGAATGGACATGAAGTGCAGTTTGTAATGACAGTTGAGCATCCAATGAAAATGGTTTTGCAGGTCTGCTGCAAGCAAACATACACAGCCTGCCCATGACATTGATCATCAGAAGACTTTGTCCGTGGTCTGCAAAGGTTTAGCTTTTGGGTTTAGGGTTTCGGTTTCTTTCTTTAGGGTTTTTTGGTTTAGGGTTTAGAAGTTTGGAGGTCACAGGTTTGTGGCAATGAGAACAGTAACAATTTCGGTTCTTTTTGTTGGGGTTTTGTGTCGAGGTCACACAGGNNCAATGGCAATGAACAAAAATGACAACTATAATCTATAATGACCAACAATGACAGCAATGAAGACCAAAATGACAGCAATGATGACAATGACCAAAATGACAAACAATAATGACCGTTAATCTTTACATTGCAGGTTGGCGTCAGAATGCGACCACGGCAGCTTTGTTCTTGATGCACACATGCGCCACACTTGGACACGGCGCGGTCAGCAAGTAGACGACCTTGGGGTTGAAGCCTCAGTCAATGACAGGAACAAATCATGGTACTTGGAGTTGAGGCTATCATGCTAACCTACTTCATGGGTGTAGGGTTTAGGGTGTAGGGTTTCATGAGCCACAAAGCGGTGCAAGAGCTCCTCTGTGACGGTGCTGTGCATCACATACCAGCTCATCGGCTCGCGGCTTTGCCGCTCAGACTCCACGTTGTCCTCAGGCTTGCGGGTCCTTGCAGCATCCTGCAAGCGAAATCCTCCAAGGAGTTTCAATTTGGTCTCGATGTCGACGGTGATGGCGTACTTCGATTCTTTGCGCATCCCGTAGATCGAATCCCCGTTGGTCGACCCATCGTAATGCCTGTTGAGCCTTCCGCGGCCGATGACGCTCGCCCAGCTGCTGGCAGTGGTTCCTATGAGGATTGCCTCTTTCTGCTTCAGGTTCATCGCCTGAGAAATGCTTGGGCAATGACACATTGACAAATAACTTGAAGGACGCTGCGTCTACGTATGCACGGCTGCAGCCAACACACTGACCGGTCCAGCACCTTCCCTGAAGGATTCCTCACTCGGCGATTCTCCACAATGGACTCTTCGGTGTAGACCGTGTTGAGCTCGCGGACGCTTGCACCAGCACTTTTCATGAGTGTTTTGAAAGAGCCTTGCAGTGCCTCTCGCCCGCCGTCCGCAAAGAGAAACCTGTGAGAAGGCTGCTCGGGTGGGAGGGGGTGGTGCTCAGTCATGATCCAAGACAAAGGTCTAAGACTTGGAGCCGGGCACATCATGCGGGTGCGGGCGTGGCACGGCCTTCATGACCTCGTCGCGGTCGGCCTCCAGATCCACGGCGGTTGTGGATCTCGAGAACCAGACCGCCATGAAAGCGTTCTCCATATTCTCCTTCTTGAACGGCGCCGGGGAGCGGAGAGCGTTGCGGGCGCTTTCACCTGCAGACATTTAATGAGGACACCAAGACAACAAACACAATAGGACTATCTGGGACACAGGAATGACTCCAAATGATAGACAATGACAGACAATGACATCCCCCCAGGAACCCTCATCATTTTCTAAGTCATCTTCCAGGGAGCAACTCCACTGGAATTACAGAGTGCTGCGCAGGGAGCAACTCCACCACTTGGCACCCATGCCTATGTGCATGCATTGTCAGTGTTTATCACTATCTGAGTCTGATGGTTTATGTGATGGATGTCCAGGGAGCAACTCCGCCGGACATCCAAAACGCCAAGCACGGAGCAACTCCACCGCTTAGCATGCAGAGATGATGATGATGATGATTATGATGATGATGATGATGTCCTGGTCTGTCTCAGTGGAGGCATGCTCGCTTTTTCCTAAATTCCAGGGCTGGAAATCTTGAATGGCTTCGTGGCCCAGACTTAGCCTTCGGCATCCAGGTGTAGGAGTGAGACAGCTAGCTCAAACATTTCAAGGCAATGACAGTCCTCCACCTCAGCACCATTCACAAAGCGGAACCAGTTCAAGTTCAGCTGCTTCAGGGCATGTTGGAGCTCTTTCTTCAGGCGCCTGGGCACCACCTGGTTTGACTTTTCAAAGACGAAGCCGGTCCTGATGAACTTCACACTGTTCTCTGCCAAAATGCCATATCTCAGGCTTGTCAAGACATCCGTCGTCTCTTGCACATGGGTCATCAAGTTTGCTGTGTTGTCATCCACATACTGCACAGCATAGATGCCGGCATTACGGATGGACTCCAGCTCGATCTCTGTCATGTCGCGGAATTCCATAGAGTCCCAAAGCGGCATGTTCGCCATGAGGACTCTCACCCGCCTGATCACCCTTTCCTCATACTGTTGCGTCCATGTAGAGGAAGCCATCCTCCAAGATTCGAGACACTTCCTAATTAACCCAAAGTCCAAGCCTTGACCTGTTACAGCTGCAGGCAGGGGTCACAGGACAATCACAATCACACTCAAGGCTTCAGGGCTGCATGTGAGGTGTGTCCAACACAGGCCAACGGATCTGTTATCGTTTGCAGTTCATCACAGCCAGTGTCCATAGTTTGTTCAGCTAGGCTCTATGTCGTTGTCGTCATTAGCACGATGACCGCCTCCTGGTCCTTGTTGGTACTCTGATTTGAACTGATGTTTCTGCTGTTGTCATTGTCATTGTCATTGTGT